GTCGACCATTACACGCTTGATTGCGAAATTTGAGTCCACTGGATCTGTACTGAATCTTCCTGGCAAAGGGAGAAAGTCTCTGGGTGATGAAAGAGCACCCATTGTACAGAATGCTGTCGAGCAACTTCAGTCCCAGAGCACCATGGCATCTTCGTCAATAACTCAGGTGTCTCAGTTGACCGGCATTCCCCGCGTCAGCATGCATCGTATTATGAGACGCCATCTTCATCTCTACCCGTCTTATTCCACTTTATTACAAAAGATCGCGCAAGAAGACAAGGAGCAACGTGTCACGTTCACTAACTGGCTGCTGGACAATGAGGAAATCTTTCCAACATTTTATAGAGCGATGAAGCAAATTTTTTTGTGGATGGAATAATCAACAAGCACAATTGCGTGATATGGTTTCGTGAAGCTCCTCACGAGTACCTCACCCATAATCTCCATTCCCCTCATCTCTGTGTGTGGATGGGATTCTCCTCAAAGTGTCCTTCGTCCCTTTTTGTTTGATGTTACGGTTTCCGGCGAGTTACTTCCATATGTGCTGCAGACGCATGTTATCCGGCAACTCGAGCAGCACAAGAAGTCATCGACCGTCTTTCAACAAGATGGAGCTTTACTCCACTAGTCAAATCAAGTGAGGATTTACCCCCGAGAGCAATTTTCTGATGAGAGAGTCATTGCTCGTGAATTTCCAAACTTTTGGCCTGCAAGGTCAACCGGTCTCACACCTCTGGATTACTGGTTCTGGGGAATGATTGAGGCTCACGTATATCATAAAAATAAACCGAAGAATTTGGCGGAGTTAAGAGCAAGGATTGAAGAGGAGTGTGCGCGAGTGACACTTGAAGAAGTTAAACATGCCGTGTCTCACATCTCGAACCGCCTCCAACTTGTTATAGAAGAAAGGGGCGGTTTGTTCCAACACCTTTTGTAATGTCAGTTTATTTACAATAAACCTCCATAATGCATGTATTTTTACCTAACAATTAAAAAAATGTTTAGTTCAATGTTGAACTTTCATTATGGGTATTATTTTTTGCGTCTATTATAAGACGCCCTGTAGAAAGTTGTGGGCCAAGTTCGAACCTCGTTTGTCAGTTATCATTTTGTTGTCATTCATCTTTGTGCACATCTTACGGATGGGGCTGGAAAGGATTGGGTGAAATTTGGAAGAAGGATGCCGAATCTACAAAGGAAATGACCCACTGTAGTTGGGTGTTTCGTTTCGACCTCCAGTGCATTTTTTCTCTGAGACGTGTGTAGATTCTGAAGAGTTATTTTTCAGTCTGCAAAGCTCTACAAACGCTTTGAAAACATTTTCAATCAACTCATTATGCTGGACTTAATAACAGGTTATTAGACCACATTGGCCGGTTTTCTCGACAGACCCAATGGGCAATAAAAACTCTTCATTTCCAGACCGCTTTTCCATCAACATTGCAATTGATTGTGCATCGCTTGGGATTTTTTTTACAGTCCGGCGTTTGTCTCTGGGACATTCTGGTCGCAAGAACAGTGGACTGAGTTACGTCGGTAAGTTTCGACATTCAGTACCTGAAACGGCCTGGATTCAGACACAAGAGTCGTTGAGCTCTGTTGTTCACTGACTACTGTCGACCGACCCATGCGTTTTTTTCAAAAGCAAACCTTGGAGATAGACTTTGGTGTGTGAAATTTCAGGTTCGTGCGTAATAATATATTTAAAGCATCGCTGCCGCGCAGTACATAGTCAAACGCAACGGTTTTTTCAGACAAGATTTATGACTGCCATCCAAATGGACCACATAACAAGCTCACATAAGCACCTCACATCTTTTCTCCTAAATTACAATGCACCTTGTGGAATGTTCATTGCCTTTCTTCAAGACTAATCTGAGTCTGTTAGTTAGAACCCCATTCAAATGCATCCTTGCCTGTCTCAACAAAGATACTCGGTTATATCAAGGCAATTCAATCAAATCATCAACGGTGATTTTTCTCGGCATTTCGCGGATTTATTGGTTGATATTCGCCGCCTGACTTAATCCCAGCCAAAAGTGTTTTGTGCACTATACCACCGGTATAAACACCGGAGCATTAGAAACTCCCCGAATTCCGTGCGGAATTGCATCAAACTCACCCGAATGTCCTACATACAGAGGCTGCAATGCTGGCGCAAACGAAGGAGTGTTCGCTACGCACACGTAGAATCCAAAATCTTCCATCCTTTTCAGTCGAAGTGGATACCGGACCTTTTGAACGGCCGAATGGAGAATCTGTAAAACAGGTGAGTGAGCACAAGGAATTGGTTGATGCGTTAACAAGAGTGATTGGGGTTACGACTTTATTCAATTATACATTACTATGCTAGTGAACTGTACTGTGTTTTGGAATCGAAAACCAGGAAATTATCTGGTACGTTCCAGCGCTTGTGGATGGAACACCAGAGAATGCGTAAGAAAGCTCAAAGATCAGGGTTGCATTACGTATCAGAGGTATCCAGTTTTCAGTGTCAACCAGCTACAGTACCTCTTGTTTAAACAGAGTGCCTTGTAACTAGGGGGAGAATGGATAATTCAGTGGCACGCTTTGCTCACAGTGGAACTCGTGGCATCATTCTTTCACACTGAACCGGTAATGCGTCACTGTTACCATCACTGATGCCGTTATCCTCACCAAAATCGTGGAGAGTTTAATATGAGTGTTCATCACTGATGCGCAGATGTAAAACCATGGTTCTTTTAGATGCCTTATTGTTAGGAAACTAATGAAAGTTGATAATGGAGCGACCTAGTGCTTTCCTACCACAATCATTCGGAGATGCCTACACCTCCGGAACCTTATTCAGGCAGTCTGGGTAGGAACTGATAGCGCAACGAATATCCATCAGCAGTCACATAATGCAGCGTCTCCAACCACTCGAAATTGGATCTTACCGTGAAAGGTGAGTGGCACTGGGTTGCCTTATCGATGATGTGTCGGGCATACTAATCACATCGCTCAAGTGAGAACACTTTCGCCCGTTCAGACGTGAGGATTCAGATGCGTCCAACGTGCGCTGGTGGAATAGTGGTAACACGTTCGCCTCGCATGTCAGGTATCCGGAGTTCAAATCCCGGCACGGCCATTGGATATGCACTGCTGATGAGCTCTCACAAGAGCCTCTCCCCCCCTTAGTGTGGATTCACATGAGTAATTGCGCCGGGACAGGAGAACGACTGCTCAAAAGGAGAGTGATGTGAAACTGAAGTTTTCATACTCTCATAACTTCTACCCCAGGTCAAATATTGGCCACCTCTCTGCGTGCGCCTCTACGTCGAACGACACTGAGGAATGCGCAGTATAACGTCTAACCCCGGGGGGCCTTTTGCTGCGGGACTGAGGTCCCTGTTGCATAAGTGAAAATTCGTTTTCTAGTTGCCTCGTCGCAGATTCGTTGACGCCAGCCTACACGAGCTATGGTTCTGAGACGACGAACGTCCAAGAACTGAAGACACCTTCCTTCCGCGGCTTGCAGATACCACGTCCCTCAGCTATGAAACAAAATAGTCCTTACGGTTGCCTGATACACACATCCCATGAGATTCACATGTATTCCCAGAATACCAAAAAAACGTGCGAATATGCAACCGGTAGTTTACCAGGAGATTAAATCTACTTCCTAGCTGTCTCTGTTAGTCAACATAACTGAGTCGAAACGAAAGAGCTGGTAACAAGAGCAACGTTTATACCCGATTGTTCCAATGGAACCGATTAGATCTCAATTGCTGAGGTCCTTTGAATGAATCGGTTCGAATTGTACTGAATTCGCGAGCCGCACTCACCGACACACTAGTTTTGCGGCTTTTGTGCAGCAAACTCAGTTAAAGAATATCATAAATGAGAGGTTCAACTGGAATTTAGTTGAGTCCCCCGGTAAATCAAAATCGTTTGCGAGTAGACTGCTAGATTGACGGAAACTCAAAAGTTGAGTCTACCTACTGAGTACTTTGAAATCATTCGTCTGATGTCGACGAATTTCGAGCGACCTTCAATAAAAGCCTAAATATATATTTTGGTACTTAATTAAAGTTCATAAAAACTGTTATCGTAAGGCTTAAAAAGAAATTCCGGCTGCTCCCTCTATCTAGTTTTCAACCGGGCAGCTTATTTTAGGTAAACTGTTAACAACCGTGAAGTCAATTTTTTCGCTCTCTTAACTGCCATTTTGTATTTCGCAGCAATTCTTTTTTGATCGGATATGGGTGTATTCATGTAGGCATCATTCTGTGCTCAACGTTCAGTTTAATATGGGGATCAAAGTTCACTTAACAGTTTGACTAGAACTATACAAATTCGGTAATGTAATCCTCGTTTGTATTATTGTGCGCCTGGTTACCTCCACTTTGTGGTTATTTCTAATCTTCTCAGCTGTGAATGAAATGGGCAAAGGAGAGAGGAGGCAGAAACCCTTCCTTCTGTGTGAGGATGTTTGACCACCAAGGTTTAGTGAAAATGTCCAGATGTGGTCCCACTCATTTTTTGTTTTTTGTTGTGTTTGATACGTTGAGCGCTGATATAAGTGCATATAGTCTGAAGTTTTCCGCGCACAGTACGTCAGGTCGAATTGCTCTGATGTGGGCAGACGAACAGTCAAGTTGAAATCAACGGATGTAATTCGACCTCGCACAGCGTCGTTTGAATCCCAGGAAAAGGGGACAAAATCGGGACTTTGTCATCCGATTCGAAATAGCTGCGAAATCGATCTTGATAAACTATCTGTTTAGTCCGAGGTGACGAATTTCTGGCGGTTAACATACTTACTGTTAGCGGTTGTTAGAGTGAGCTGCGATCGGGTCGTGATTCGGTAAAACTTCCACCAGTTTAGTTATTATCAGCTCTTACATGACTACTGATGAACTAGTGGATATTTTGAAAAAAGAATTCGACAGCTGGTAGATGAATAAAACTTTCCCGCCTTATTAGAATTCCAGTGCTATGTGAAATCAATAGTTCGTGACTTTTTGAAAGCTGCACTCCATCAGTTCACCTTCATGAAGGCTTCTCTGCAAACAGTCATTACTTTTGTACACTACACTTGCTGTTCAATACGGGACACCCCACCTGAGTAGTTGTCACACTTCAGGACCGTTTTCCTGTTCCAAATAGCTCTGCATCGATAATCGATCTTGTGGTGGTCTCATGTTACACACGCAATCGATTGAAATCCATTAGGTTGTTTCTAGTCGACGCCTTCGTTTAATTTGGTTGACTGAACAGCAATTAATCGCATTCAGTTATCAGATATACCTTCGAATCCATCAATGAGTGTATGCATGACGGTTGTCCGAATTGTCCATTATTTCGACTGCTAAACCTCACAAAATAAGTAGTGCGGAACGCGAAAAAATCAAACCCTTCCTAGTTTAGGTTGATGGAAGGCCAAATCTAGGAGACTGTTTTTTGTCGATAATCATGTGATAAATGTTATCTCAGGTAACGGGACGAGTTTTAGGTCGCCTTTTGGTGACAAAAAACGGTCCATGTCAGGGCGGATCAAATTCGTTTTTTGTCGGAAGTGAGATGTTTTCTGGGGGAGAAACAGCTAGGCCATTCATTCACAAGTTTGTTTTTCGTCTCGGCATCAAACAGAATGCCGTATCACATAAGTAGAATTGCTTGTCTGCTCTCGTGTAGGTAAAAGGTGGGTGATAAAACAATTCGATATGAGTATTGGATAAGGGTCCGACTCTGCCCGCCTCTGTATCATCCAAGTCATGGAAAGGTGAGGCTAGAACCGAGAGAAAACACTCAGCATACTTGTGACTTGCTCGGATTTGATTGCTTAAAGGAAAATTATCCGGACGGCGGGTTTGCACGGCGGGTCGCGTCATACAACCCTCACTTTCTAAGCTAGATCGGCACATTTTAGATTTTTAGGGGTGCCCATTTTTCTGTAAGTTTAGCCAGTGCTACCAAGAACCATGGAAGGTCTAAAACGTCAGCACTAGTGCGGAGTTTGGACATTTGAAATGGTTTCATTGGTGGCGAGTGAACATTTGGTTTAGTGTTGGTTTAGTGTGTCGAAATATTTGTAGCTCGGTTGCATTTAACGGTTGTTTGTTCACCCAGTTTGACAATTAATCTGGCAAAGTTTCATTTATATAACTTCTGAAGAGTGCGTGTGATCTTATGACGTGATTGGTCATTTGGTGGCCTGCCTCATCCCTAGTTCACTGGTCCATTCAAGATTTATGTTACTTATTGCCCTGTTTCCTTTGATTTGGTTGGTTACCCCAATCACCTTTTACCGCCTTCTTTTACTTCTATTGGTCCGTTCGCAATCTGCTTTGGGTTGGGCTTTGGTCTTCCTAATACTGATTGGCTGCACGCATTTTAGTGACAGGTATCTCTGCGCCCCCTATTGGTCAGTTTGCAGCCTCAGATAAGACTATATAAATTTCTTCCAAAACGTTTGATTCCAATCAAACCTGATAACCTGGTCAGGTTAAGCCATTTGGGGCTATTGATTAGCATGTTGGAGCACGTGTGTCTCTGAGGGACAAAGAGTCCACGGAAAGCAGACTTTAATGTGACAACGTAGTGTTAAGCGATGTGTTTTCAAGTTTCTTGGAGCTGGAGCATTTTGGTTGCCTTTAGGCGTTACTGGCACCTTAGAGTGTGCAGAATGTGATCGGTCTACATAAGGCGGTTGATGTCAGTTCTTTGCCAGACTGGCGAAGAACGTCATGTGTTGAGCGAGTTTTCAACGGGCACTGGATCATTCATGCTTATGTGACCTTTCTGCAGCCCGGTGAGACCAGACTGGCAAAGATCGTCATGTGTTGAGCGAGTTTTCAACGGGCACTGGATCATTCATGCTTATGTGACCTTTCTGCAGCCCGGTGAACAGATTTTCCGGCTTTAGGGAGTTTTTTCGTAGCTTACATGGGTGTAAATTAACCTATCAAAATCACCTTGCTAATTTCTAGTTATAAACCGGTGGACCTTCACTGTTTCCGGTTGGGGGCATAACTTACTTCGCTGCCCTTTGACTTCACGGCGTTTGCCAGTGCGGATGGACTGATTTCGCGGGCACCGATGTACTGCGAATGTTTCGCATTCACATTTTGCCAGCGGCTCACGCTAGACTGATTGGTCGGCTCATCGTCCTCATCACTCAGCTCATTCAACATTGCCTGCCCACGAGGTCCAATCCGGTAGAGGGCTACGTGTGCCAGCGGGTTTGAGTCGACTGTACACTCCAGGTAGATTGTTTGGCCGGGTTTGGCCGGCCTTATGTTATCCAGACCTTGTTCGAAAGCAGGTCCATCTGTTTGAATAGTGGGGTGCAGAACAACGGGTGCGTGGAATAAAGCGCAATACACGTACTGTCTTCAAACAAGACAGACCGAAACACTTGACTCTATATTCTACGAATCACATTGGGCAAACATAGATTATTGATCGTTATATTAATACTATCACTTAGTCACCTGGGAGAAGCATTCCGGCACTTCAACCCAAGATTTCACACTGATACAAAACGAATACGGCGATGTCACTGCGCTTGGATTTTTTCGCCTGAGGTGTCGGAAAGCGAAGATTTCACAAACCTAACCTAGCACAGATCCTGATCTACTTATGTCGAGTTGCGTGATCGCAGTTAGAAACTGCGCTTATTGCAAGTAACAAATCAGGCGGCTCTTTAACAGTCGGTATTTCCGTTCCCATAAAATTGTCAAAACCATCAAAGTTTCCCATATTTATCAAATAGGTTTCATATAAAAAACATTTTCTGGCCAACAACTATTTTACAGTCTCGTGATCCTCATATCTTACGTAGATTACCAAAGTGCAATCCACACTGACAGACTGTCGTGAATCAAAGAGATAAATAAAAGAACGCAGGATGTGAGATAAAGACCATGAATTCATTCGTAAATTTTACTGAAATTATTTTAAACCATTTCAATATGGAAATCGCGGTTGTTAAACCAAAATATAACAACTCATCTTGACGTTCGTGGCGGCACTTGCTGATTTGATCTGATAGATTAGACAAATGAAAGCCACACATCCATCTTCGGTAAAACTGAACACGAAAATGGTACTATCCCAAACAGCTTTCCACAATTTTAGCGACCATAATCGAGGGATCGTTTTTTGTGCAAGTCCTTCCCCCTCCCAGAAAAAAAGACAAATGAAGTCGGTCATATCCGGACTTGATTAATTTTTCACGACCAACGTTCCGAAATAGCTTCCATTGTCCTACTGAGGACCGGAATTGATCATGCACGTTGTATAGAAAGATTTCACAATCTCAAGAATACCGTTGACTTGCGTGTGCTGATTGCGCAAATCACTCATGCCATTGTCATTCCCGTTTGCTACTTGTTACCAACCTGAATGGTCTCGTCATTGAGTGGAAGTAAACTGGTCTGTCCGCACACTCCACGTCCCACTTAGCGGTGCGCAACAGAGCCGAATTAAACGAGTTCTCAACAAAGAAGTACAAATCAAGTGGGGCATGACGATCTGCTAGCCACTTGCCTCGTAGGTAGATAGATGAAAGGACGATAAAGTGACACGTAAAAACAGGTCAGCATTGTTGTCGACGTTTAACGCGCAAAGAAATCCTGAAGTCTCTTTATGATCACAACATGGAGGGTCTGTTATTCCGTTGTGTTCGTTATTGTAAAAAAGGGCAAGGGGTTTGTCATTTCATCATCTACGGTCAGGGTGCGTCGCTATGAGGAAAGTCTGTATACACCGAATGACGGAGAAACACGGCCCGGCACCGAACGCCTTGTGAAGAAAGTTTCGACTCCGGGTTGATATCGGACCAACAAACTGCCCGGCCACCATCGAACAAATTATTGTTCCAACTCCGGGCTTCTTGGTCCGTTTTGATGGAATTTCGGATCTTGAAACACGCTGAGCCAGCTACTGTTGACTGTTAGGCTCCACTGGTCAATTCATATCGTATACTCAGAGGCTGCTACCCAATCCAGTATATTGGGCCGTGCGTTCATGAGTTATAAGACACTCATCACGCGCACCTTCCTACATGAAAACCAATTTCCAGCCTAGTTTATATAGTGAAATAAGGATTAGTATTTCGTACATCTACTGTGTTCTGGAGGCAGTAGTTCAATGGTCATTTTTCAGTTTTTTTGTACTAAGTACATGCCTTGGTGAGTCAGAGTTGCACTTCTCGTTTGTAGAACATTGTTTTGTTTGGGTAATGCCAAAGAAGCTTATCAAGATCCAATCTGGACGATTTCACAATAATCAATCTCCTGGAACAGCGCGCTTGTCAGAAATTGCAACGATCGAAAACGTTCCCATGTTATTCTGAAGTTCTGCAGAGTTTTGGGAGTCCACAAGCCATTAAACAAATGTCAGTTTTAATGACCATCACTTTTACTACCACCGTTTGTTTTCTGTCTAAGCCATAACATAAATCCACAAGTATATTTATAGCTATATATTTGTGTGGGGAATCTGACTGACGAAATGAACAAACTGTTACTAATAGTTGTGAAAGAACATGATTAGAGAGAACGAGCAAGCCTAACCCATCGAGGACAACATCAAAGCTGTGTAATTCCTAACTTGGTGAACAATTTTCTTCCACTATTTCATTTTTTTCAGCATCATATATACGTAAACTGAGTCTCGCACACCCCGTTCAGTTCATCGTGATAGAATAAATTACCGCCGAGTCCTCCTGGGGAGAACAGCTACTGCATCATCTTCCAGGCAGTCAACCTGGAGTAGTTCGAAGTACGGCTTACATTATACTGTGTAATTGATGTGGCGAGCAACCTTTGTGGTAAGTCATCTGTGGTGCGTAATTCTTGTTGCGGAAACGTAATTCATAATCTCGTGTTGGTGGGAATAACCCACTGTGTATTGGAACTCACTCGTCTAACATATATTTCGTAAACCATCAACCCGTAGCTGCTAGTGAACACCGTTCAGACTAGCCGTGGTCCGTCCAGGCTGAAATGTGCGCCATTCTTCCACCATCCACCCGTAGCTGCTAGTGAACATCGTTCAGACTGACTGTGGTCCGTCCAGGCTGAAATGTGCGCCATTCACGTACCAAGACAGAGGCATCCTCATGTTACACGTTCGTGAAAAGTCTTTTTCACCTCAACAGTTGACCAAGCGATTACCAACTACCATTCAAATAAGACAGCATCTTGCTGTCAAATCCTTCCTACCGCGATATGTTTGTCAGGTCAACTAAGCTAAATTTAACGCTTGCCTGCTTCTCAGAACAGATCGAACAAACCGTATCTGCAATTGAGTAATGCCAAAAAGACTAGATTAATTAGATTTGGAGTTTTGTGACTGAAAAATCACTATTCTGTCCTGGCGAAAACCCATGTCTGGATTCAATGAGCGCAGTCGCTCAATGCCAATATGCCCTTGTGGCAAGCAGTTCGTATTGGCTGACTGACGTGTTTCTTGAGAGATAACGTGAATGACATCTTGACGAGGTGTTCAAGTGCACCCGAAGAAATATACCGAGCATCGAAGCAGTTGGCGGACCTCGAAAAACGGCCTCCACACGTCCATTGAGAATCACGAGACCGTCGGAAGGAACAACCGCAACCCACGCTACTGAGTCATCATTCCGCTCGCCGTTGTTTGGTGTGCGGACGTTGACACTGCACTGTGCCGGTCAGTGACAGACCTGTGAACTTGTTGACGCTACGAACGTGAACAACTGAGGTTTGTTGTATACATTTGTTTACCCTTGTGTTAATAGTACCGTAGAATTATGAACCCAACTCTTCCCTTTGATATTCAGGATTGTCGAACCTACGCGCTACTCAAAATTCCTTATCGGGAATCTCAAAACCTGGTGTATATATACGTTGTAGGTGGTCGCGGGATATGTACAATTCGCGATCATATCACTGCAATTTAGAATAAGTTTGACGCCGGCCTGGTCCATATTCAAATGGACAAACTTGTTCATGCCTGTCAGTTCAACAAAACTGTCAGAATGCATCATACTCACATGATGTTATCAGTGTGCGTGTCTGTGGGTGGCTAGCTGCAAAATCTACCCTTAGCTTAGGCTGATCCCATCCTATACCGTAGATTCGGTGCGTGATCTTATTCCTACGTACAGATTTTATTTCAATTTAAGCGTTGAACGATTAGATTTATCATGAAAACAATTCATTTCAACCAGTTAACATCTAGTGTGAACGAAAACTCGATTGTTTACGTGATCTATTGAAGCAAATGATCGAACTTACAGAGAATATTTAGTTCCTTCTCCATCCTTTTCCACATGAGACGGTTGCTTGATGGCTCAGATGTTTTACTTCTGTGGATATCTTCCCCCGGCACCCCTACGCCAACCCAACATCGGATTCGACTTCGGTGCATGCTGCGATGGAGTTTGAGTTGAACAACACTCGGATCTTGCGGGACAGCATTCAGCAGTCGATCTCGAGATGTGATATCGTTTGTGTACTGGCTGACTGATGCCGACTTGTTACTGTGATCGTCTGAAACCTCAGCTGCTGGTGGATCCAAAATGGTCCAGCTAAAATTTCGTCCCGGGTGTTTCAGAACGAGAAACCATATGCGGGAAATAAATGGTGTGTAGGTTACCATCTTGAACCACTCAGCACTAAAAAATCAATATCTATCGCACCCATATGAAAGACAGACGGGAAGGTATCACACAATCTGTACAGTAGAATTTAGTGAGTAAGTCGAACTCCAGGAACTCCGAACACCATTTACTCCACTTGCAATGATGCATCTCCTTTGGAGGTTCTTTTGAAATGGAGGCACTTGGAACCTCCCCTGAAACTTGTGGGACAGTCTTCATTTATGCGGATCACAGGCAGGGCTTCTATCGTTTGCACACAGCAATAGGTTGCGGCCTCCGTAAATTACTGAATGAATCATCAAATAGGTCTAACTGAAGTTTCAGTCATGTTTGTATGATAATCTCCAGTTGAGTTTTCATCCTGTCAGTAGAAGCAATCAATACCTGGATTGCAGAGAAGCGCTCTTATTGGAAGTGATTGGCAGTGTCGAAGACACTTCAGGGACTGTTGAGTCCGTGACTGTCGAGTCAGCCTCGAGCAGCTGGGCAGCAGTGTGATTAACTCTCAATCAGCGAGGATATAGCACGTGCATATTGAATCAGTCAGCGAGGATATAGCACGTGCATATTGAATCACAGTACTCACCCTACGTAGTGAAGTAATGACTGCGTCATGGAGTGATGACTTCTCAGATGGAAATTCCACTCATCACGTGAAACTATTCTTCTCTGAGCCACTTATAGAT